GTCCAGCCTGGAGTGTGGAGATGGAGAGGGTGCCCGGGGCAGCACCCTGACAGCTAAGGGTGACACCCGAATTCTCGGCACTTGCCAATTTCTGGAGTCTAAGGCCTACCATGGCCAGTGGTAAGACGGCACTGTGCTACCCCTCAGTCAGTCCAGGAAGATCTCACAATGGAATCTTAGGAGCTGTTACTACGACACACTGGTGTTTTGCTCAGACGGGACGATGGGTACACAGACTCTCTTTACACTATTCTCTGACAGTTCTGTAGACGTTCCTGTATGAGGTTGCATGTAAGAAGTACTGGGTGGCCCTGACCAGTTTGGCTCAGTGGATAGAGCATCGGCCTGCGGACGAAGGGTCCCAGGTTCGATTCCGGTCAAGGGCATGTACCTCGGTTGCGGGCACATGCCCAATAGGGGCTGTGCAGGAGGAGCTGATCGATGTTTCTAACTCTCTATCCTTCTCCCTTCCTCTCTGTAAAAATCAATAAAATATGTTTTTTTAAAAAAGAATAAGTAGTACTGGGAGGGTGATGCTTGTTAAAGGGATCCGTGGAAGGCTGACTGCGGAGGCCCAGACACAGGACAATCTGAGCTGTCTTCTCTCTCCCCTCCCCTAGCACCACCCCTTCTCTAAGCTCCAAGGAAAACCCGGAAAGTTGCCGTGGCTGTCCGGTTCCTCGGGTAACGGGGATCTGAGCCAGGTGAGGAGCTGTGACGGCTCCCGGGACAGGGAGAGGGCCGGGAGCGAAGCAGGAGGAGGGGAGAGGGCCAGAAAAACCTGACTTTTTGGACTGAGGCAGAACTGGACCGTGGGGGCAGCCAGAAGCCTGAGTGCTGGCCATGGACTCCCATCGAAGCAGTTCAGTAGATGCTTGGGCACAGGGTCATAGGCAGGGAGGGTACCCAGGGCTCAGGGAAGACTCCGGGGCTCAGAGGCAGCAGAAACACCTGGATTTGAGCTTCAAATGCACTTCCTACCGCTGAGGGGTCCTGGGCAAACTGTTTCCGGCCTGTCTGTGAAAGGGAGCCAGCAGCACCCCCTGTACCAAAAGGCCCAGGGCTGACCCATTTCCCTGGGCAGCGCCACCACCAGGTCCGGGAAGGAAAAACACCAGTCTGCCGGCTACTGAGCGCTCACTGCGTGTCACCGGCCAAGCGCCTTCGGAGCCCTGCCCACCCAGGGAGGCCATGTTACCGTGTTGTCCCCATCGGACCAAGAAGGTGATGGTGGAGGCTCCGAGAGGTTAAAGATCCTACGTGAGGCCACACCCAGCACGTTGCTGAGTTGAGCTTTGAACCAGAAACCTGGTGTCACTGCGACCAAAGATGCCCAGGCCAGGGTGCCTGGGTCTTGGCAGATTAGGACGCTAGAGGTGTTTGGGGGAGGGAGGAGCTGACAGCCAATTGGGATGGATGACTTGCACAGAGAGGGCAGGCTTGCCAGGGCCCTGGACGGCCGGAATGAGTACCCCTGGGATGTATCCTAGGGTCCGGTCCATGGAGGCCCGGGAAGGGTAGACATCCCAGAGGCCTTCCCTGCCCCTTGGGGACGTGGGTGTTCACGGCCCCCACCCTTGCCCTTTGACCTGACCTTGAAACAAGTTTGACCGCATGTTATAGCCCAGATCGTAGTAGTCGGAGAAGATGGAGGCGATTTCCGTGGGACTCTGGCGCCTGCTGGGCCATGAGCTTGCCCTCTTCTGGCCCTCGAGGGCCTCGCCAATGGCATTTCGAGCCTGAGCAGGGAGGGACGAGAGGAGACACGGGTTAGAGAAGCAGGACCAGCTTCTCTTTCTATTTTTGGGCCATGAGCTTGCCCTCTTCTGGCCCTCGAGGGCCTCGCCAATGGCATTTCGAGCCTGAGCAGGGAGGGACGGAGAGGAGACACAGGATAGAGAAGCAGGTCCAGCTTCTCTACTTCCCCTTTAACTCCCCTGACCCTGCCCTCACCACGCCTGCTCCCCCCTTAGCCTGCAGCCCTCAACCAACCCGCAGGACTGGGGAGCTGATGCTAAAGAACCCTCCTCC